ATGTTTAAGGATACATTGAAGAGATAACCCATGTAAACTGCATAAAACCACGAACACACCTGCAGTTGCTGAATTTTCTTCTGCTTCTGATTCGGTAGAACTTCCGAAAACACATCCGCAATTCCCACCTGAAAGAATGAATTTTAGCATAAAACTCAGTTGATCAACTTGATCGAGGTTCCTTTGCAGTGCCTAAGAGCGACGCTGCGCAGACAATGTTAGAATGATGCGATTGCTATATGTGTATGTGATTTTTACCCCCTATAGAATGTAGAATAGAAAGATGAAAAAGCGCCCCCAGCGCCACATATGCCGGATGAAATGAAGAAACGTGCAGTAGTGAACATTCCATGCACAGAAAACTATTATAATATTCCACATATATTGGAACCACATCGAGACCACACCTAGGCTACGAGTATCTCCGTACCTTTTTCATGTTTATTGAAAACGAATTATCATTAGTCTACCAACAATTCATCAGTGATGATACTTATTCTTTCCGGTTCTGAAAATGAGAGCACAACAAGGAGCATTGAAAAATGCCGAAAAATCAGATCCATCTTCCGCTTCAAATCGTGCGCTACATGGTGGCGCACGCGGTACGCAGTGTGTTGAATAAAAAATGTAATACCGAACCGCTTTAAAAATAACCTCAAAAGAAAACAGTTGTCAACTGAAAACGTACTTGTTTAGCTGTAGAGCCAGCGGTTTTCGCGTTATCCCCAGTCAGGAGCACAACCCGCATTCCCATCTTTTCGTTAGCGCCCACACTGCCAAAGCTGCCTCATTCTTCACTTTGTCGCGATAGAGATGATTGCCACGCTTCCCTACAACAACTGTCCTCGTTCCCTAATCTTGAGATCTTACAAAAGTCGAAGGTCAAGAACAAAGTTGTGGACGGATCTGACAGGATTGAGCAATCCGGTCATACCAAAAATGGATTGTACTCGCTAACTGAACGCATCAAAAACAGAGCCTTGGCAAAATTGCTTTTTAGGGCTCAATCAGTGTATTCATGCGAGCCCCTTCAGCGCTCTACTCCCTACTTATTGACCATGTCTTCAGCGGGAAGTATAAGGCCACAAAACCAAAAACGAACCATTTATGGCGCAGAGTACAGAAATATGGCCCTTCTGTTGTTCAACAGACAGCGCTGCAGCAGTGACGTCATCGATAGTGATTCCATACTTTTCCATCATGCGCTCACTTCCTATCACTACCTCATAGCTATCGTTTTCTTTCACGGTCTTCAGTGTCGGCATACACGAAACCTAAATCGTTGTTAATTTCAATAGATCCTTGAAGTTTGCACTTGTCAAAAAGATTTCCCACCTGCTTGTGAATGACGTTCGAATCAGAAATAACCATTTCCTCGCCATCGGAAAGTACTGGACCGTTAACTTGCCTTATTGAATCCAGCGACTTTCGAACACCCGAAATCTGACACGAGACTCCGTGACCTGCCGAGACATGAAACCGAGACACGGCCGCCCAAGTTGGATCTCGCAGCCACTAAACATGCATGGGAGAATGTACTTTTGGCATAAATAGTGAATCACAAGGAACTAACTTGTTTCGCGAAATTTGTGATTGCTGCTCCTATAGGATGTTCCGATTGGGACTCTGCAGATCCACAAATGAGGACCAGCATTTTCAACGGAATGTCGAGTGGTGATCGTAGAGTTAGTACAGAAATCACTCGCGGTCGACCTTCTGTGATGGTACCGGTCTTGTCGAAAATCACCGTGGTCACCTAAACGCGAACGAATGAAATACTGGCGCGAAATGCATGAGGATACGCTACTAAAGGAGGATTCCACGATAAGGTTGAAGGTCGAAGGAGGAAAAATCTATTCTATGGGAAGACACGCAGCAAAGGAGATACCCCTTGACGATCTAGCATGGCCGTTTTCCCGGCGTTATCGGCGCGGTACGCCCACCGATGGCTAACCAGCCCATCGATGGCTAAGCCGCTTCGCCGCAGGTCTCCAGCCGTTTAGC